AATATATTAACAAATCATAAGTGTCCTTATCCTTATTTTGTCTATTTAATTGTTGAGATTCCATACAACCCAAATGGACCATGCCAAGCGGGATAAAATATATACTAAATATAGTTATGGACTTAGACACCTTATCCAATAGAGTGATGCCTGGAGGGACCGAGGGATGATGCCACAATTCTACATCGAGAAAGATGATAATATTTCTCCTTCCCCCATCCCTTGCTTATATGTTGTGTGAACTGTGTTTGATCTTTTCCTTAATTGCAGGTCATGAGTGGATTCTTCCCTTCGAGATGATATTGAGGTGTCATTTTCAGTACACCCTACAATACCGGGAGGTACCTTTGGTTGAGATGCTTCCTCTGCCAGTCAGTCTTGATCGTGCTTTGGCTCTTAGCAGTCATCCTGTCATTTCTTCGTCTAGGTATGATTCTCTTATTAGTAGGTGCTGGTTGATGCACCTGTTGGCGATGTTTATCGTGAAGACCCTCTATCTTCTGATACCGAGGAGAAGGAGTCGCCGACTGGGTTAGTCCATATTAGGACCCATATGGCTTCTACATGGTTGTTTTCTTGGTTGGACTTGTCGTAGGTGGAGTCTGTCAAGGCCGACTCCTTAGAGAATCATCTTTTAAAGAGACGGAATGTGGAATTACTTCTCGGGGATGACACGATAGCTATAGATATCCCCAATGATGACAGTCCGAGACAGTCGGGGGGGGGGGGGGTGAAAGAAGGGGCGATAGAACTAACCCGTGAACCCAAGGAAGAATCAGTGGATACTACTGCCGAAAATGTTTTTGGTGTGGACCAGAAAGCCGGTCATGAAGGCGCTCCCAGCTCGCCAGTTCTGTTGTTGGCTAATGGAGATCCTGCTGAGGGTTATGTTCCTATTCCACCAGCAGCACTAACCGTATATGTTCCTAGGTGGGGGATAACTCGGGAGTCTTAACTTTTCCTAGAACATAGTGGCATATGATTAGGGTCGTCATGCTTTCCCCCTCGTGACCATCGAGACCTTGGAGCTTCTCTCGAATGCTCTTCTTTCTAACAGCCTCGTATATACGGCTGCCTAGGTTGGTTCATATATAGTTGTGACTGCATCTCGCCTTTTCCATGGTGATTCCAATTCTAGCGAGCTCGTTTAGATTAGGGTTGAGCGAGATGATTTCAGGGGCAAGTTATTGGCGTTAGAAAAGGAGAAGCGTTCGTTCGAGGAGCGTTATGATCTCTTGGATGGGGAGAAGGCATCTCTGGAGGACAAGGTCATTTCTTTTGATATGTCAGTAGAGTGTTTCTCCCAACATATCGATGTATTGGTGGAAGAGAAGATGGTGTTTGAGGAGCACGTAGATCATGCTAATAGGCAGTTATGAGAAGAGGTGGTTAGGTGGAAGAGTGTGGTGGAGGATCTAGGGTGGCTGCTCCAGAATGGAATTTTCTGTGTGGTAGATAAGGTGGTTAAAAGTTCTGAGTTTGCGATGGGAGTGAAGCGGATGAAGATGGTGTGCATGGTCATTAGTATGAAGAATGGTAAGTAAGAGGTTCAGTAACATGTCATTATTGGGAAGTTTTTCACTAGGAAGCGGTTACTACCATAGAGCATACGCAGGCGATACACGCTGTTGTGAAAGCGTTTATGGAGACAAATTTTGCCTGCTACCTCCGTCTGGGTGAGCTCAACATAGCAGGCCTTTGCCAGTTGAGTGATGATACTGATGCTAAGGATAGTCAGGTCGAAGGTGGCTCTTCTCATGCTGGTGCTTCCCCTAGTAAGTGATGGCTTTTATTTCCTTTTTGAATATTTCAAGACAATGTTTATGTTTGTTTGGTACCTAAATAATGTTTCACTTCTTTTCTTTGGCCCTACGTGGTCTTTGTGCAAATCCTGAGGGGTTGTTCGGGTAGACAAGTTATCTTGTGTATGTTAAATTCCCCTTCTTTTGGTATGTCACACTATTGTTTTGTGCTATCCTGGTGCTTGATGGTTTATGTTGGCCATCTTTGGCTTGAATTCTTCCAAGGAGTTAGTGTCACCCTTTTGGGGGTGGTTGTTATTTGTTTTGACGAGTTTTGATGGCCCATAGCATCTGAGCCTGTTGTTCGTCCTTTGACCCGACTTCGTAGTTTGAGGCTTTGGCTGGCTTTTAGGTGCGGGACCTAGCTACTCTGCTTCGTTGGAATGTCCTTTTTTTAGCTAAAGGTCTTTGTTTTGGGGGCCTTTTCTATGCCTCGGGCCAAGGAGAGTTGCACTTTGGTCCTTGTCATTTAAACTAGACCAAGATTGTCACCTCGAAGTCTAGGAGTTTATATGTTTCGAGGGAAATGTTATGATCCTTTAAAGCCTCTTATCTGTCATGATCATGGGCTGTGACTTTACTGACCTTGTTGTCATGTTTGTTAGGGGGAAATTATGAGCCCTTAAGGCTTACGATTGGGTTTTCCTCTATGGTTTTATTGTTATGTGGCACAGGTGATCAGTTTATTTTTTTTTTCATTTATACGAAAGTATATTGATACTTGTTCGTTCTAAATTTTCATTACATATATATTTTGTGTGATGTCTTGGAGACATCCATATCATTTAGGTAGGTATCGGGATTCGATAGATGATGTTGTTCTACTTTTAGGTCTTGTACTGGCTAGTTGGAGTGTGATTATTTGGTGGGAGTTTGATCACATAGCCCCTTCTCCTGATTCCTTCCAAGATAGGACCACTGGCTTGGGCCTTGGGGCTCTAAATCATCGGGATAAGTTCTTCTTCTTCTTGGTCTTTCTTGCTCTGTGCCTTTCCTATGCTTACAAGTTCTCTGATGTTTTCATTCACATGACTAGCTATTTCTGGGACAATCATCCTTTAAAAGACGATTTTCAGTCGTTTCCATTCTCTAATGTCTATTGTTTGGTTAGTATCTTTGGGAGGTTTCCTGTCATCTGGTGTTGCGCTATTGTTATTGATTCTATTTTCAATGGGTTTTGGACCAGGTGTCGTCCTGGGGAAAGCTTCTGCCAATTGCGGGCTCGTGCCATTGTTGGCAGCCTCCTATTTGTATCTTCTTTTGTTGGGTAGTTCCTTGTCTTTCCCTCCCCAACATTCACGATCTCTTGGTTTTGTTTTTTATCAGGCTTCTTCTTCGTACTTTGTATCTTCACTTTGCGAAGGCACGTGGACATGCTCAATGGTATCCAGCCCTTCTTGGTGTTCATACTAATAATACGCGATGTATATGGCATGGTAATGTTGTTGCTACCGCACCCTTCCCCCTATGGGATACATGCACATGGCTTACATTGTGTGGGTGTCTTTCTCCTCATCTTTGAGCATTGTGGATGTGAGTATCATGGTCCTTCTTCCTTTTGGGATGTGTGCGGTGGCCCACACGGTGATTGCCTGGATTAGCTTTGCTCGTGTGTTAATGGTTGTGATCGTTGTTGAACCTTTGGTTGTTCTGAACTTGACTGTGCCATGTATTGTCGATGGGATAGTCTGTAACTGGAAAATAGTCGGGCGCCCAAGGATTATATCATTATTGGACCTTTGATTAACTACCGAGAACTCGATTATCCTCGTTACTTGTTCCTTCCCATTGATGTTGGTTATAGGTAATGGTAGGTTTATGGTACCGAGTGGCCCCAACTTGTATCTCGTGAAGCCAACAAGTGGTGCCTGGGCTGAGGGTTTCAGGTTCCTTCTCTAGCATGGCAGGAGTTGCTTGAAGCAGTGATTGTAAAGGATATCAGTGCTGCTACCTTCGTCGACTAAGGCTTGCTAGGTCTTCTGAGGTATAACCATGGCGAGGATTATAATTGGATCTGTTGGGTCCCAGTTAGGCCCTCGCGGGTCTGATGGCAAGAAACTGATGTTTAGAGTGCCTCCAGGTGATATCACATGGCCTATGGCCAGCCGCTGGTACTTGTCTAGACCATTAGGTCTCGCTATTGTGAAAATCTCCTCTTCTTTTATTGGTATTTTACTTGCTTCCTTACGGGTTCTACCATCTTTTTGGTTAGCTTAGAACTTTGACTGTAGGGTCCTTTCTATTTATGTTAGGTCTCCATTCAATTTCTTTTCTGCTACTTCTCTTTTGAGTATCATGCATTCTCCGGTTTCGTGTGTTTTGCTCTTGTGGTATTCGCAGTATTTTCTTTTTTTCTTCTTCATCCGCTGTGGGGTTTTTTCTACGGCGTGTACTTCCGACCTGTGGCTCCTCTGATCTTCTTTAACGAATTGGGAGGAATGTTTCGAGTGTCTGCTCTGTTTTTCATGGTTTCCATCGTTGTGCTCTTTATGGTTGTAGCGGGAGTAGGAGCCAACTGATTCTTGCTTGAGGTAGTCGTTCGCTACTGCCTTTAAATTTCCTTGTTTGTGTTCTTCTCCTTCGAACCGTCAGAGGTATTTCTCAACCCTGTATTTAAGCTTGTCTCTAGATTTCAATACTTTGCCTTGCATTTTTCTTGACAGGGGGCCTGGTAGTAGCCCTTGGGCAAAGGCACATATGACTAAGAATTCTTCATGGTCTGGGACGCTTAAAGTCGCTATGGTGAACCGATCATAATATGCTCGGATGGACTCTCCCTAATTTAGCTTGCATGCCATGATCGAGTTCGAATCTCCTTTGACTTTCCTCAACTGCATGAAATTATGGAGGAATACATGTCTTAATTGTTCAATGTTGGGGATGCTTCCCGATCGTAATTCCTTAATCCATTTTCTGGTGTTTCCTGACAGTATGACCAGGAAGTAGGTGCAGGTGAACCTCTTGTCCATCCGGAGCGATGTCATCGTTCATTCATAAGTGTCTATGTGCTCGTCAGGATATGCCATGCCGTTATTTCTTGGGATATTGGGGATCATGGTGGAATGTGGTATTTCGTACCGCAAGAGCTCATGGAAAAATGTCGAGCTAATGCTTGATATTGAGTCGTGCATGTGTGGATATGTAGGTGATCCACTGGTTATTGTGTGATGCATGTGATAAGGGCTGCCGTACCTTTGACTATATTTGGAATGGTACCCATGGTAGTTTTCTGGCGTTTGTGGCACATACACTACATGTGTGGGGTATGCATGCACTAATTAATATGACTGTGAGCTTGATTCCATTGGTCCCATGATGTGCAAGTGCGTCCCCAACACCAATATGCCTTGACTGTTGTTGTTTTGTGGCTGTGTTGGGGGATACATGCCTTGGTAGTAGTATAAGTATGGGTTGAACGCTAGTTGTAGTGCGACTAGCAGGACGTACGACATGGCGGCCATTGGGGAAGATAGGTGACCTGCAGGCATTGGTTGTATAGCTGATGGGATGGTGCTCGGGCCCTAGGTGATAGTCCATGCCTGCCGCGTGGATGGCTGTTGGTGAGTTGCTGCCTGTTATTGTGTGGTTAGTGCCCATTGGGGCGCTATAGTGGTCATCGTAGTTGTATGCATTGTTGTGGTGGGTGTCGGCTGCCATAAACTAGTGATGAACTCCTCCGCGGAGCCAACTGGCGGTGTTTTCGGTGTTTGTGCTAGCAGCTATCCTCCCAGTGTCGACGAAATGCTTCCATCAAGGGACTGGATTGGTCAAACCGAGCTAGTGATGTCACATTCTTACCGGTGCAGTCCTTTGTCTGTCATTTCCGGCACTTGGTGTTGTTGAGTGTGTTTTGCATTATTTAGTGCAAGCTCGGATGGCGCCAACTGTTGTGATATGTCATCAGCTTAACTCCGTCTTTTGGAGGGCGGGAATAAAGAGCCTGTGGATCACAACAAAGAAGATGAGACCGTCAGTCATCGTCCGAGAGGTTGTCCTAGAACAAGGCTCCGACAATCAAGTTAGTGAGAGTCTAAGAGAGTGAGGGTTAAAAGCGTAAAGAGAGTATTGAAGGGTTTTAGTTCTTGGCCCCTTCTCTTGGGGGAGAAGGGTGCCTTTTATACATATGGTTAGGGTGAACAGATCCTCGATAGTATCTTCTAGCTTTTCAGGTTTGGCAGGGGCTGATGGCTTCTTATTTGAGGATCATGTTCCATGGGTGGTTGTTCGCTATTGGTGCAGATTCTTCCAGAAGCGGCATCCATAGCACTACACATGTCGCTCTGGGGAACTCTTGGTACTGTTTTGTCTTAAACGTTAGCCTTGACGCTTCGGCACCAAGGAACAGATACAGGGTCTTGAAGGCGAGGGCGAAGACTCGACATTAGTCACACGTTGCTCATTGGCCGATTCGTCTGTTGAACTAGTGGTTCCGTAATCTTTGATGGATTCCTAATGGGATACGTCAACACTACTGTTCTAAAAAGAAATTATGAATGAATATCACTTTTTGTTAAGCTTTTTCGTTACAAGTTAACGCTACCTCATCACTCCAAATAATACAATAAAGCTCCATAAATGTAGAGTTTTGTCACCATCTTATTATTGGATACACAAATATGGAATATTTTATTGTTTTTCGTCTAAATTGGAGACTAACAATTTTTTTTTGAATAACGGTTTGGTGCAGCGGACAGTGACATCTGATAGGGCAGTATGCCATAACACCCAACGAACCCAAGTTCGATCCCTCCCCAAAGAGATAAACAACATCATTGGCAAAATAGTTTCTCATTAAGAGGCTTCACTATGTTGGACATGGATAGAACTTGACATCATTGCTCGTGGAAGCCTTGGACGGAAAACCGGAATATACCTCCATCTAGTTGAACTGGACCTCATTGGCAATTGGGAATTAACAATTAGATGTAAATCTTTAGCACCCAACGTAATAGTGTAAAAAGATTCAACTAGTAGATTTATAAGGTTGATTAAAAATAAATTGGCTGCAAAAGCTCCGCAATAGAGTAAGCTTTCTTATTATTTTTTTGAAACATACAAACTTTGAATATAAAAACTCTGAAGAATTTCGAAATATGTTATGTTATCTTTAAGAAAATAGGAAAAACATGTAATGTATGAGTATTACAAATGAATCATATCATAATCACTTTTTTTTTTTTTATATTTTGAAATATGTATAACTTGTTCAAGAACGAGAAACAGAAATGATTGAAAATTAAAAGTTGAATATATAAAGCTAATAGACTTTATAAGTTTGTAGGAAATAATTATTCTCTTTCTGTAGTGGATCTACACTTATCCTCACGTGATAGTTGTAGTGATTAAAATCCAACAGATGTGCACATGCTCCTTCAAATTCCAAAATCTATTTGTTATTGTTTTTCGTATGAACTATAATTTTATATATCCCAAAATGGATTATACAATTGATTTATATTTAGATAGTTTGACAAAACTAATTAGTAGCTGGTAGCGTTTTGTTAAACGTTAATGAGTTAATTTTTAGATTTGAAGTATTGTTTAAACTAAGTGTTAAATGTTTGTAGCGTCTAACAATGTTTTTTGTTCAAAAATAACATTTTGTTAAATGCTATAACGTTTTGTCAAACACCAGAAGTTAGAAGCTTTCAAAACATTTCGTGTCGAAGAAGCCACCGTAAACTATTTATACATGGAACATAGGGAAACTTGAGAAACAATAGTTAAAACATCTCTTCTTTGTAAAAATATGCTCAATGGTCATATTTTCTCAAAATTTTATAGGAAAACCCCTATAAATACAATAAATTTATTATCCTTTCCATATCTGAAAAAATCAATACATTATTAGTTTGTATAAGAAACCATTTTATTTCCTGACCATATTTAAAATAATGCATCGTCGTTACCAGGAGATCCTTAATAGCCGGTTACCTAGCGTTCATGGTTTTTAGAAAAACTCAATTTATATCCTCCAATACGCAACAAAGCTATTGTGTTATTATTATGTATAATAGAAACATTTTATTTTCTGATTTTGTATAATAAACAATTTTATGTTTTGGTTTTGTATAATAAAATATTATCTTCCCTAATGGCTTGTGTTTTTCTCTTGAGAAATTATAATTGGTAAATAAAATTATTAATTCTACCATTGAATTATAGGTTATAAACAATACAAATTAATGGTGTATTGGGTTAGCCTATGCATAAAAGTGACACTACAACAATAGGAAGGTCTAACAAACACAGTAAGCCCACAACTCACCAGACTAACTACCTATACTGCATGGAAACACAAAAAAGACATTATAGTGACTACCTATACAAGCATGGAAACACAAAAAAGACATTACTTTTATAGCGACGTGGTAACACTGTGCAGTTGACAATGCAATATTTTGTAGGAAGAAAATCATCAGTGCCAATCCTTATATAAAATCTCAGGAAACACATAAAAGAAAATAATATTATAATGAAGGGTATTATCATCGCAACCTATGAATAAAATCATAACCCAATCAATAAAACAAGAACAAAAACTCTTTCATTTGTATATAAACACCACGATACACACCGGTAAGGACAAAGTTTTTCTTTCAATAAGCAATTTTGCAACATTCACAATTTACATCTAACTTAGGCATCGAAGACCAGTATCGGGGTCTATCCCTCGGTATCGCTTTCTAACCTACCATATGTCTATTTTTGCAGCGTGCCTTTTTGTTTGTGCCTTAGGAGACCAAACGAACATATTATTACCAGGCATCCAAGAGACTACATAGAAACATTGATGTCATCCTTATTAATCACGAAAGACAATCAGCAAACAACACCGGGCACCACACCACTGACAATAACCCCATCTCAATAAACAACACATAATCCTTCATAGACAAATGTGCAGACCGTAAAAGGGTCAAATAGGTAATCACCCATAAAAGAAAGGAAAATAAGACAGAGGATGTCTATCGTGGTAGAAACAACAATCAGTTCTGTAACATCCCAAAAATACAAGCCAAAAATTTTGTTTTGAAAATAATACAAAAACAATAATCATTCATACTCCATAAGAAAACCAAGTGTCATGTGTCTCAAAATATCATGAAAATACTATCTCAAAAACAAATGATATAAAATCAGAGTCTCAAACAAATCCCAGACTGAATACTATGATGTGTACCATGCGATCACCCCGAGCTCTTCCCCTTGCTACCGGAAGTACCTGAAACCAAAACTGAAAATTGTAGCACGAAGCTTAGTAAGCTCCCCCAAACTACCACATATCATACAATAGCACATATAACAAATATTAGCCCTTTCCCACTGCATTGGGCCCCGCCCGACATCGGACAGAAGTTCGGAATAACTTGGGCCCCGCCCACTGCATCGGACTGAAGTCCAGAATAACTTGGGCCCTGCCCACTGCATCGAACCGAAGTTTGGAGTAAACTGAACATAGCATAAACGTAAACATATAACATATTCACATAAACTGCATCGAGCTTGTCGGGCATCAGACCAGAGTCCAGAACATATAACACATAACATAAACATGCATGAAACACAAAAACATCAAGTATACATAACTACTTCTCGGGACCACCCCGATATCAGACCGAAGTCCGAAAACATATAAATTGTGTTAGGCTAACCCTGACATACTACCAATATATAAACGGGTCGACATTGATGCCTTAGACCCATTCCTACTGGAGGAAAACTCACCTCGTAAAGCTGACTGTCAGCTGAAAACCTGAACGAGAAATCCTTGTCTATTGTTCTGGTGATTCCCCGGCTATGAATTCCATAAGGACACTTAGTCAAAAACTGATAACTGCTCTTAGGGTAAAATGACCATTTTACCCCTAGCCAAAGTCAACATCCTGGTCAAACTCAACCCCTACTTGACTTGAATCGCCGAGTTAGTCCACTAACTCGTCGAGTCCCTATACTTTCAAAATGACACCACCCCCGACTCTACTCGTCGAGTCTAGCAAGAACTCGATGAGTTCTCCTTTAACCATAACATCGGGACTATCTTCAACCAACTCTCCAAGTTCATCCTTGAACTCATCGAGTTCATCCTTGAACTCGACGAGTTCATCTTCATCACATGAATGTGTCCAGTCTATGACTCGTCGAGTTATATGAACAACTCGTCAAGTTAGTCTTCATGGGTTGGGAGATTACCTTGGACTCGCCGAGTTTGATCATCCACTCGCTGAGTCCCCTGATATCCAGGCCCCTAGTTACATCCATTTTGTTGAGCCCCCCTTCTAGACTCAACCAGATTCCTCATAACAGCAAGGGTTGGGGAACCAATCCCCGACTCACCATATCCCAAGAACGACTCGCCGAGTCCCCTATAGTCTTTTTCCATAAACTCGATTTCTGTGGATCTCATCTTATCCAAAGGTTAGATTTGGCCTCTTAGGGTTGATATAACACGTAAAGTTCACTTTACGTCCATGCATGGGTCCTTAAGCTTAAAGGACCCAAAAATGAGGTCTACAACATCCATGGGGCTACCATGGCCATAAGGTTTGCATCTTTATGCCATGTAACCCTCCCTAGAACCTAGATCTGAGATATGAACCACCTAGGACGTCCCAATACCAAGGACCAAAGTTTTTGAGCCAAAACCTTCTTAATAT